AAAGAAGAAGAAGAATCGCTAACGTTGCCGTCTAATAATAAAAAGGAACAGCAACTTTCAACGCCATATTTCAAAAGAAAAAAGATAGATATTTATTCAACGTCACACGATCCAAATAAAGGAACATCAACAGTAGAGCACGAAGAAAGACAAGCGGAAAAAGACGAAAAAGAAGAAAATCTTCATCTGCAACAGCAACAATCTCCACCTACAGAAATAATGATAAAGATGATGAATGCAAATAGTGGTGCTGTTGATTTATCGGAATATTTGAATCAGTATCCGTCATTAGCAAGAGGATATATAGAGGGATTTTTAAAAGATAGTTTGAATGAATTCGACACCACGTACGGCATTAATTTCAATCATGCAATTAATAAATTGACTATGGGAGATAGCGAATTGGTAATTGATGATGACAGTAACATAAAAATAAAGAATGTTCTATTCCGTGGAACACCAGGTTTATTTGAATTAATATTCAAAAGAACACCTACCGGTTACAAAAAACATGACTTAAAAAATTATAAAGAGATATTAGAATTAACAAACGCGCATCGACGTGATTTTAGCCCAAAAAAACGAATAAAAGCGGGGAGATCTTTTAAATATACCGAAATAATACAGCCACTATTTCGAACTCATACAAGATTACCAAGATACCTGTCTAGTAAACAAAGAAGTAAAAACAGTGCCAAAGGACTAAAATTAAACATGGTATATAACGAGAAACCTATCGAGTATGTTTATTTTGACGACATTAATGAAATAGTTGACCGACTGAGGTTGCTTTTAGCTTCGGAAGCAGCCGGCAATCATTCTCATACAAATGAAATAGCGTCGATAATTTCTGAATTGAGGGAGGCGGGGTTGATTATTTAAAACGAATAAATTACCCTGCTTTGTATTTGACATACAGTAGTAGGTTAAAACCAATGCTAGAATGAGCGTAAACAAATTCGGTCAGTCAAAATGCTCTACGGATATTGCCGGTGGTGGTGGACCAATGTCATCAACAGTAAATTTTAATAAAATTACAAGATTTGGTTTCATGTTTACTACAGAAGGTGACCTTGATATAGAAAATAGACGAGTATGTAATGTGAAATCCCCCATTAATCCTAACGATGCGGTAAATAAAAATTACTTTGATAACAAGTTACAACGTGTTCAGAACAGGATCGATCATGTTATTGCATCTGTACAAACAATGATTGATTCTAAAATTGCAAGTAGCACCGATCGTTTACAAACTATAATAGAGCAGATAATTGATGAAGTTTTCCAAAGAGAAAAAGAAAATACAAAGACATTTGTTTTAAGAATGTTGGATGATTATAGAACTGTTTTTATGGACTTTATTAAGGAACAAATAAATAAAATACATGATCAACATCAAGAATTAATGCCACGTCAGGTGCAAGAATAGAAGACTTTTATTAAGGATGCAATTAATTTAAGTAACACCCCCCCTAACAACAAAACTATTACCATTATTAAAAATAACACAGCAGCGTCAGCGTTAGGACACCTACATTTAGGATGTTCTTTTCAATTTAATTCAGTATAATGAGTACCGTGGAACAGATAAGAAATACCATGGAGCAGATAAGAAATGAAATATCTAATATTAGTAAAGTGTTGAAAAAATTGAAAGAGAAAAATTGGTTATTGAAACATTTAACGACTGAAGAGATAGCGGTTCTACCAAGACAGTATCTATTGGATCATATTAATTACATGGATCGTTATTATGCGTGGGACAAACTGCCGAAGCATTTAAGGGATGACGAAGAATTCAAACAAGAATACCCGTGTTTCGAGCATTACAATAGGGGCTCAGAGCATATTGACGGACCTGCCCCACCGAGAAAACATTGTACAGATTGTTGTATAAATACATTTCAAAAAAGAGGAAAATAACAAGCAACAACGATAGAACCAACAGCAACAGCAGCAGCGACAGCGATAGATGAGGCATACAGTTTCAATTAACCAATGTTATAATGTCCCCAAAAGAAAACAACGTAAAACGTAGTGTGGTTCATGAAATTCATCGACCTGCTAGAAAAACTTTTCAACGTCGACGTGTAATAATTAAAGGCTTACTTGACTTATATCAAAGTGATCTAATTGATATGCAAGATTATGCAAAAGAAAATGAGAATTATAGATTTATTTTGATCGTTATAGATTGTTTTTCAAAATATGTGTGGGTACGACCAATAAAAGATAAATCGGCAAATGAGGTTACACAAGCAATGCATTCTATCCTTCAAACTTTCCATGCCTTTCCTCAAAATTTACAAACTGACCATGGTAAAGAGTATTACAATCGTCACTTTAAATCTTTAATGGAAAAATATAAAATTAATCATTATAGTAGTTATTCAGTAAAAAAGGCATCCATTGTTGAGCGTGTAATTAGAACTATCAAAACTAAATTATTTAAAGCACTTCATTATAGAGGTTCATATCGGTGGATAGACGTAATTGATGACGTTGTCAATGAATACAACGGTACCATACATAGAACAATAAATATGACACCATCGAAAGCGATAAAAAAACAAAATGAAAAGTACTTGCTTGATACCGCTTACAATCACATTAAAATGGTAGATGGGAAACCTAAATTTCAAGTAGGTGATATTGTACGAATAAGTAAAGCTAAACATATATTTTCAAAGTCTTACACACCCAACTGGACAACTGAATTATTTAGAGTAGCAAAAATTAAGTACACTTATCCTTACACATATTTATTGGAAGATTTAAATGGCAATCCTATAAGTGGAGGTTTTTACAATGAAGAAATACAGAAAACCAAATATCCAGATATATATTTAGTTGAAAAAGTTTTGAAACGTAAACATAATAATCTTTTCGTTAAATGGTTAGGATTTCCGGAAAAACATAACAGTTGGATTAATATGTCTGATATTGTATAAAAATTTTGTTCATATTGGAAAATTTGTACATAATATAAATAAATAAAACAAACGTTGCTATTATTTTTAGTTTTAATTTAATAAGAATAATAATAATAATAATAGTATTATTAATCGTGGAATTACATGTATACAGTCTTCTGTCTTGTACAAAGCAAGACTCGCATAAATAATAGTAATAATAACTATGCAATAATAATATGTAATAATATAATATTTAAATACCTTAAGGACTAATGGAATCATAATAATAATAGTGTAACAGACTAGGTAACTAGAAACATTTGTTTTAAAATGGTAGCAAAATTATAAAAGTATTTCAAAAATTTACAAGTCGCGAACTAATCTCTTTACAAAGACACTTAATAAGTTCGAAAAAACAATAACCGTTAAATGTAGTATACATTTACATGTATATAATAATAATTATCAACAGTTCACTTCGTATTATGATTATTATTAACGAATGACAAGTGCGCACATCTTTGGTTTCAACGATTTCGTCGCGAAATCGTCCACATTTACTATGCATAATTAATTAATATTAAATTAATATGAAGAAAATCAGTTAATTAGAGGATACCCTGCTGGAGGCAGTTCGTTTTGTGCTTAAGGCGCGACAGCCCAAAAGATAAAGGGGGGGGACCAAGTGTTATTTCTGTCTCAATCATATAAAACAGTAACGAGTGAACAGCAAATACACTGGCTAAACTCCCCCCTCCATTCGACAGTTACTTTTTTCACATACAGCAATTTACCTCCAGTAGTGTATGACCTATAATTACACATGAGTGATAAGAAACAAAAAAAAAACTACTATTTTTGATCATTTAATTAGTTAATTATTTGCAGTGACGTCACACTAAGAAATAATTGAACCCCCCTGGAGACTAATTTTGTTTTAAATTATTTTTCTTTTTGCAATAATTAAATAAATTCGAATAGCCTTTCTTTGCCCATTATCAAACTATAATGATTATAATTCAGTGAATAATTAATCAGTTAATAGTGACGTCACGTAATTATACCTTTCCTATGTAATTAATTTTACGTAAATGAGATAGACGAAAGAAAACTGTACAAGTTACTATTACATAAATACAAAAGCTCCCTAAAATATTCACAAACATTTTCAATTAATTAGTAATTTTATTAATAAACGTACGTAACTATTAAATAAAGAAGCTGTTTCTGGAATTTTTTTAACTACCCTGCATATGTGAACGAATAAGGTATGTTGTTTAACATAAACCTAACATTTATGACTATTATGCAAATTTTAATGGTTTAACATTCTCCCCACCCCTTAAATTACTTTTAAAAATATCATATTTTAACGAAATGGAATTACAATTATTATTATGTGATATTAAACTAAAATACGATTAATTTACTATAGCAGCAGCTTAGGGCCTTTAAAGTTAGTCTATGTTGTAGCTATACGTTCATTTGAGATTTATTAAAAAAAAAGTTACCTCAAAACCTAAAATACGTTTTTATGTTTTATATATTTTAACGCCTCTCAATTATTTAATTTTCCCTTTTATTTAAAAATGACTTAAATATTATTAGCACAAGACCAGAAAGGTTTTACTGTATTTGTACAAATTTCTTTATCTTTTTATATCAAATATTNGATGATTAATAAGGTAAAATACGTTTTTTGTATATGTAATTTAAAATAAAAATGATTTTTATAAGAGAATGTGTATATATACTACAACTTACTGCAACATCAATTCTGTTCTCGTAGAATCATTTATACATGATTTTATTCATACACACGACCAATCATAATTCCTTTTAAAGTATGGGACAATTATTGGATATCAGTAATTCTAAGTGAAACTAGCATCATGAAAATGAACACTTCTTTAATAACGACTTTATATCTATGATCATAGATAGTGTAAAAAATTGCAGTCACATAGGCAATACCATAGACAGCATCACATAACCTATAAATTTAAATCTGTCATCTCATCATGGTTTTTAGTAAAATAAACAAAACTATTGTAGTTTCTGGTTTTAAACGGTTCAATTTTAATATACCTACAAATAATGATATAATACCTGCAACATTAACGAACCGTAACCCTAGGAATTTAGAAAAATTACGAATAGCATACAAACCAAGTGGTTATCACGTAGATCGGCCAGGAAAAAGTTTTTGGCACAAGTTTGTTATTTTCACTTTGTTTATATTTTGCTATAGTTAATTTGAATATTTCCTAGATTAAAATTAATTCAGAGTCAACGACACATAACTGCTTCCATATATCATTTCCAAAATGGTGAGGTACTTAGTGCTAGTACAAAAGAATGGGCAATTAAGAAACAACTTAATAAAACAACTGACTCAGCAGCATACTATAATATAGGAAGGGTAGGTAACACTTAATTAATTTGATGATGTATTTATCAGTAACAGTTAATTTCTCATTATCTGTAAGGTATTAGCACAGAGATGTCTGGAGTGTGGTTTAATAGAAATCAGTAATGACTATGATCCTGTAAATAAAGAAGGAAAGGTTGCATTGCTGTTAAAAGCATTAGAGGAAAGTGGTATAAGTTTAACAGAACCAGTGCAGTTTCAACCCTATCGTCCTTGGGATCAACATAGACCAGAAAAACCATGGGACGTTATAGAAGACGATATTAAGACATAACTTATACATGTCTTTATGACTTAGTGTTTATTTGTACAAATAAAAGTACATAAAATTATATCTACATTCATTACATCATTCATATACTATTTACTTTTCATAGTTGTGTTTAATGTGTTTCCAAAGTTTCTGAAATAGGAAAGCACTTTTTCAGATAACTTTAAATAATGAATTTGTACTATTATTGTTACATTATTTATAACAAAACTTGTTGGTAAATGTTATGTAACTCACCCCTTCATTGATTTTATCAAAAATCGAATCGGCTACAACATCAAACGCACGTTCAAAGAAAAAAACCGAGCCTACTACAACTAAAGCAAAAGTCGATGTTCTTTTAAAAATTGCGTTATTTAATGTAGATAAAATCGACATTTTGCTAAAGTAGCCTCTGCAAATTTATTCACTTGTTTGGTTATTTACTGCTCGGTGCTCGTTATTACTTATCTATGGTTATTTCTGCTAATGGTGTACACCATAGATAAGGCGAATAATTTCAATTAGTAGCAAACAGTAAATTATCAAAAATTAATGAAAGGAAAAATTGTAGTTATTCACTTTTTGTGATCATATTTACATGTCAACATTCTTAAATTATTTTGGACACAAAAATTTGATATTCTATCGAAAAATAATAAGCGAAGCGAACTACTTTGTCTCAGTTTAGGGAATACCTCTTTTTTATTTTTATCTTATCTGTCAAGTACCTGTCAAGATTGCAATTTTTATGGTTAGGTTACCGAAAGGGTGGGTGAGTTTCCTGAACAAATCAATCATTACAAAACAAACTTTATCAAATTTATCTCTGCTGTTTCAATAACAAGTAAATTTAAGTAGGTAAACATAGTTTCTGTATTCCTATCAACGAGAAGAGTGTAAGCTATACTAAAACTTAATGTATGTTTCAGCTTATTTATCCAACAATATGACCGATTCAAAGTATTTTACAACCACAAAGAAGGGTGAAATATTTGAATTAAAATCAGAACTGAACAGTGATAAGAAAGAGAAAAAGAAAGAAGCGGTTAAAAAAGTAATGTACCTTGTTGATATTGAAAAGTAGTATGAATTTTTAACTGTCATAATATAGCAAAGTATTCTGTTCATTTTTCTTCAAGAAGATTTTAAACGTTCTTCTTACAGGTTATTGCTAGTATGACCGTTGGTAAGGATGTGTCTGCTCTTTTTCCTGATGTTGTTAATTGTATGCAAACTGATAATTTAGAGTTAAAAAAGTTGGTGTATCTATATCTAATGAATTATGCAAAATCTCAACCTGATATGGCTATAATGGCAGTGAATACTTTTGTTAAGGTTGGTTTATCTGGTTTACAGTAGGTTTTAATTAATAGTAATTCCCACACGTTCAGGACTGTGAAGATCCTAACCCGTTGATTAGAGCTCTGGCTGTAAGGACAATGGGCTGTATACGGGTTGATAAAATAACAGAATATCTATGTGAACCCTTGAGAAAGTGCTTAAAAGATGAAGACCCATATGTAAGAAAAACTGCTGCTGTTTGTGTAGCCAAACTATATGACATTTCGTCTAGTAAGTGTTTGCTTTTTAAGAATAGTAAGTTTTGATTTTATTTTAAATTTGATTTTAATTAAATTAGGTTTAGTGGAGGATCAGGGCTTTTTGGACCAGCTTAAAGATCTTTTGAGTGATTCTAATCCTATGGTTGTTGCTAATGCAGTGGCTGCATTGTCAGAAATTAATGAGAGCAGTCCTACAGGGCAACCACTTGTTGGTATGTAATTTGTTAACTATTTTTGAAAGGTAAAGCTGCATCCACAGTATCTGACTTCAGACTGATCAATTTTTTGTCCTAAATTAATAATTCCTTTCCAGAATTAAATACAAACACAATCAATAAACTTCTAACAGCTCTGAATGAATGTACTGAATGGGGCCAAGTGTTTATTCTCGATTCCCTTGCAAATTATAGTCCCAAAGATGAGCGCGAAGCGCAAAGTATCTGCGAACGTATAACCCCCCGATTGGCTCATGCTAACGCAGCGGTGGTACTCTCCACTGTTAAGGTATTCCTCTAATTTTTAAACGAAAAATTATTTTCCAATAAATTCTTACACAGGTTTTAATGAAACTTATGGAGATGCTGTCAGGCGATAGCGACTTCTGTACAACTCTGAGTAAAAAATTAGCTCCACCTTTGGTGACCCTTCTCTCTTCAGAGCCAGAAGTTCAGTATGTAGCCTTGAGGAACATCAATCTCATCGTACAAAAGAGACCGGACATTTTAAAGCACGAGATGAAAGTGAATAAATAATTAATTGTCTGCAATTACTTATTAATTTTGTTGATTTATATATTAGGTGTTTTTTGTCAAATACAACGACCCCATCTACGTCAAGTTGGAAAAACTGGACATTATGATACGTCTGGCCTCTCAAGCAAACATTGCTCAGGTTCTGAGCGAGTTAAAAGAATATGCTACCGAAGTTGACGTAGATTTTGTGAGAAAGGCCGTGAGAGCTATTGGGAGATGCGCTATTAAAGTTGAGCCTTCTGCAGAACGGTGTGTTTCTACATTATTGGACCTTATACAGACCAAAGTCAATTATGTTGTGCAAGAGGCCATCGTGGTCATTAAGGACATCTTCCGGTATGAAAAGATCTAAAGAGGATTTTATTTTAAATGAACTTGAACTCGATTTATTTTTAAAGCAAGTACCCTAACAAATATGAAAGTATTATAAGTACTCTCTGTGAAAATCTGGACACTTTGGATGAGCCTGAGGCCCGTGCCAGTATGGTCTGGATAATAGGGGAATATGCAGAACGTATTGATAACGCTGACGAACTTCTGGACAGCTTTTTGGAAGGTCCTGAAACATTTTATTGTAATTTTAAATTTTTAATTGTATTTACAATTAGGTTTCGCTGATGAAAATGCCCAAGTACAATTGCAACTTTTGACTGCTGTGGTTAAACTGTTTTTAAAAAGACCAGCACATACTCAAGCTCTTGTGCAACACGTTTTGAGTTTGGCTACTCAAGATTCAGATAATCCCGATTTAAGAGATCGTGGCTTTATTTATTGGAGGTACTTGCCTTCTATTTTTTAATTGCGTTTTTTTTTATTTATATTTTGTAAAATATTTTACAGATTGTTAAGCACAGACCCCGCAGCCGCTAAAGAAGTGGTACTGGCAGATAAACCCTTAATTTCAGAAGAGACCGATTTGCTAGAACCCACCCTTTTGGACGAGCTTATCTGTCATATTTCCTCCCTCGCTAGTGTTTATCATAAACCCCCCACTGCCTTTGTGGAAGGGCGAAGTGCAGGTATGCAATGTTCAAATTCTAAGCTCGAAAAGAATGTTTATAATGTGATTTTTAATTTGGAAAGTTTTAAAATCGTTGATAACGTTATTTGCTTAATTTGTTAGGTATAAGGAAATCTCTCCCTGCTAGACAAGGCTCCGATGATGCTGTCGCTCAAGAAGCAACTGTTATTCCTAGTCAAGAGACTCTTATAGGGGATTTATTGACTATGGACATTGGAGCTGCGGTCCCTGCTGCAGGACCTCCTGCACAACCAGCAAGCACGGGTATCGATCTTCTAGGAGGTGGTCTAGACTCACTACTCGGGGGCCCGCCCACAGAACCCGCATCCGTTGCTGCTCCCACAACTACCGGTTTGTTGGGAGACATTTTTGGCTTGACAACAGCACCCGCCATGTACACACCCCCCAAGACCTGCTGGCTACCGGCCGAAAAAGGAAAAGGGCTCGAGATATGGGGTACCTTCTCAAGACGTTCTGGACAAATTACGATGGATTTAACATTTACAAACAAGGCGATGCAAGTAAGGCTGTTGGTGTACAATTTTTAGTGGGTATTTTTTTTAAAGTTTGTCCTTTTAATTTCAGGCTATGAACAATTTCGCGATTCAGTTTAACAAAAATAGTTTCGGAGTTGCTCCAGGAGCCTCTCTCAATCTTGGAGTTTTGCAGCCTGGCCAAAGTATCGAAAATAATTTGCCCTTGACTACAAATGGCCCCGTACAACGCATGGAACCTCTGATGACCTTGCAAGTTGCAATTAAAAATAACGTGGACATATTTTATTATGCTTGTCAAATTCCCATTCAAGTTCTTTTCTGTGAGGATGGGCAATTGGATAAGAGAGTATTCTTAACTACCTGGAAAGATATTCCAGCAGCCAACGAAGTACGTTATCTTTCATTAGGGTATTTAGGGTCCTTTGTAATGATTGTATTTGTATTTCTCGTAGGTTCAGTACACCATTCATAATATTAAAGGCAATGCAGACGCAGTGGCTAGCAAGATGACACATAACAACATTTTTACGATAGCAAAACGTAACGTGGAAGGTCAAGATATGCTGTATCAGTCACTTAAACTTACTAATAATATCTGGGTGCTTTTGGAATTAAAACTGCAACCAGGAGTAACTAATGCTACTCTCAGTCTGAAGTCTAGATCTGTAGAAGTTGCCGCTTCGGTATTTCAAGCTTACGAATCAATTTTGAATAATTAATTACATAATTTTTAGAAACAAAAAAACCGTTTATTAACTCTGTTAACTCATAATAGCGCATTCAATTTTTGGTATCAAAGTTTAAGTATCTATTGTATTATCGATGTTTTTAAATATTTCGAAATGTATAATTGCTTTTTAAAGTAAGTTTAAGAAAGATGTACTGAGTCTTCTATAGTGTTTTATGTCTATTTCATTCCATTTTAATGTAGCATGAATATAAGATTGGGTGAATTAAAAATAATTGTATATCGTGTATATGAATAAATATTGTCCAAACTCTGAATCACGTATTTTTTAAAACCCTCTGAAGGACCGAGTCAATGCGAACAAAAGCAAGATTTGTACAATCAATGCATAAAAATGGTCACATGAACTCACCCAAACAGTTAATTTCAAGGGTCCTGTTGTTCTTCCCAATTTCTTGTCTAGGATCAGCATTTGACGAACAAAAACACATTTTTCTGAAACAAAACACAAAAGAATATGTTAACATAAAAAAATATTTAGTACTAAACCACATAAATAAAGGCAAAATATTTATAAACACCATATCAATCGCTTATATTGAAGAAATTTAGTGAGAACTACCAAGATTACTTAGCACTATCGTTGGAGTACTATAAGTACACCTTTACGTTTATTTTAAAATAGTTACAAATAAATTACTGATTTATATATAAATATATTTATGTATATATAC